GATATTTTCTTTAAAATATGGGGTAAGAGGAACAGAAATTATAGAGGAATCCATATTACATCTTTGGCAACTGTCACAAATCTATTCTCTTCACTCTCATTCACTAAATACTATCCAACAAACCTGGTAGCAGAGTTAACGGGAATCCAGATTTCCTAATGTCTCTCTACTTCCTTTTGCCCAGGTACCTTATGGAACACAGGTATTCAGAAGAACTATTTAAACAAGAAATGTAAATGAAAAATCCTCTAAATGAAAAGGTTTGAGGTTAAGTTTACAAGTGTGACAAACCTAATAGCTCAGTAAAGGAAGAAAAGAAGGGACCAAATGGCTGAATGTTAGTATTAATATTTGTAATTTTCCTTCCTAAATGTGAGTTTGTGAAAAATGGGCCCCATCACAGGGACAGAGCAACAGGCAACAGATGCAGCCTTTCCCCTTTGTAAGGAGTTAAAAATGGAAACTCTGCCAAGTTCCTCTGCCCTAGGTCAGAATGTGCAACACACATCACGTATTCATCCAGGTCTGGCACGTATCTGGAGGCTAGAAAGGAAGGTTTCTGAGTAAGGAGAAATGTAAGTAGCTTCTCTGTCCCCCCTCCCCAGTGTGTGACTCTTGAACCCAACCCCACCCCTCATTGGCTCTAGGATCCTGAACTGACTGATTTCCTCTCAATGTCCTCATCCTGTCCAAGAGGTACATTCTCCCGAGGCTGTCTTCCACAGCTCTGGGGTTAAGTACATACCTCACATTTGGGGACATAACATAAGTAACATTTCCCTCCTCTGATTTCTTTGTGCCTGCCCCGAAGAGACAAGTTCTTCCAAGTACCAAAATATTTCTATTGACAGCCACACAGAGCCATGTATCAGGAGAAAATAAATAACTAGAAAATTTTATTGAAAACATTTATTTTTCTCTTCTAAATTTGAATGAAAGAAAATACATGAGAAGCAGCAAATATAACACAGAATGATAAAATATAAGTTTTGCTTTCTTCCCTTTGTACTATTTTTGCCTATTCTCTCAGAGAATGTTAACTCTGGAGAAATTAGGAATCATTGCCTTTTAATGTAAGTACTACAGTGGTTAGACATCAATATTTAAACCACACTGATACCTCAACACAAGGATGTCCTTCTGTCCATGCCACACAATTACACAACAGACCCATAGGTTTAATGAGGTCATTTAAATGTCTCACAGTCTGACCTCACCCTCTGAACTCACTCTTCTACCTCGGGCTCTAGGATGTAACCCAAGAAAGAACTACATTATGTTTCAACATATGCATGTATATTAAATATGGACGTTCAAAAAAGCAACTTTGTGTCTCAATCATAGTTCTCTTCTACCATATGATTGTTTATGGTTGCCTTGTACTACTTTATTATATAAAATACTAGTGCAGTTCACTGATCTCAGTCATTAGAAAAAGCTAATCCATTATGGAAGTTCAGCATCAATAAAGCACTTTGAAATGCTCCACTCTATCCATTACACATCATCCACCGCCAAAAAAACATACAGAATAACTAACAGGATTTTCAGGGAAAGATCATCTTATTGAGCTCTCTAAATATTTACCGTTAAGATACATTTAAAAGTAAGATACCAAATCTTTCCAAAAGAACTAAAAGAATAGTATCATAGTGATGTATGCACACCCATGTTTATAGAGGCACAGTTTGTAATAGCTAAAACTTGGAAACAGCCCATTTGCCCATCAGTTGGAAACTGGATAAAGAAGATGTGGTTTTTCCATAAAAGGGAATATTACTCAGCCATAAAGAATGAGAAATTAGATTCATTAATAGAAAAATGGATACATATTGAGGACATACTCCTAAGTGGAATAAATAAGTCACACGTGTGTAAATACCGAATAGTTTCTCTGGTGTGAATAAACTGTAATAGTACATAAGATCCTAATGAAGATGACTGACATTGTGAAATGGGAAGAAAAGGTCTAAAGGTGTAGGGAAGGTAGGATGGGTAGCGGAAGGGTAATAAGGGAAAAGAAAAAATGTGAGAAAATGAAAAAATGGAAATAAAGTGTTTGTAAATGGGGAGGGGAGGAGGGGTGAAGGGAGGGCAGGGACAAGGGGAAAAACTGAGAACCAAGACCTGTCATGTAGAGGTACAAGATCCTAACAATGAATGTAACTGTACTGTATCCCTAAAATGTACCAATAAACTCAATAAAAAAAAAAAGATACCAAGAAAAAGCACATGTCAAAATCTAAAAAAAAAAAAAAACTTTAAAATTGAATAAAATATTCAATTTTTTCAAGATTTTATCTACTTCATAAATAAAACACAGCATATGCATTAAACTCTTAAAACCTAGCAGTAAATGATCTTCAGCAAAATAACTAAAGACTGGCCCAGGGATTTAGTGCGGTGGTTCTGTCACCTGCCTCACAAGCACAAGGACCTGAGTTTGATCCCTGGTAGCAAAAAAACCACAAACAAACAAACAAACAAAAAAACAAGACATATGAGATAAACTGAAAAAACAATAAAATCAAGCAGTTAAGTGCTTTATTCCAAAGGGAATCAGGTTAGTTTTTAGAGTTAAATTTTAAAAGTTCACAGGTCACAAAGAAACCAAATAGTGAGAGAAAGGAAGAAATCAGTGACTGTATTGATACTCCATCTCAGAACAGGCAAAAATAATCTTTGGCAACACAAATCAGATCAGTGGTAGCCTGAAGCTAAGGGTGGTAATGGACTTCAGCAAGACTTAAAAAAATCTGAGGGATGACAGAAATGTTCTACAGCTGTATTGTGGCTGTGGTTACGTGACTACATGCATTTGCCCAAACACTTCGAATTGTTCACTTATAATAGGTCCATACAATGGACTTACTCTGTACTTAAATTATACCTCAATAAAGCTGATTTTTTAAAGTTTATTGCTGAGACAACATCCACAATCATTTGCCCTATTTCCTTTCCATGCACTGCCAAAACATTCTATACATACCTGAAGCTGTGCCACAGCACGGTGGTACCCACCATGCCGAAGAAAAGATGCTTGCAATCACATCAGGTGGAAACAGCGTCACATTTCTCTGAATCTGGAGCAAATTTAACACTAAAGCAAGAAATACTCCAATAAAAAACAACACTACTCCTCGAATCACCAAGTTCATACTCTGGCTAGTGACAGATGAGATATACGGGCCACACTTTTTGGGCCCAGGTGACTCCGTCTCTCCTTCTGCCATGGTTTCATAAGTTCAGTAAGCTGAAAAAATAAAAAAGGAAAGGCTTCCCAGCTGCAAAGATCAACTGTCTGTGAATCAAAGCAGACCAATGTTTCAACAGTACTACATCTTGTCCTAAAGGGGGACTACCAGAAATCCTGTAAAAGAGAAGAAAAACAAATCAATGTGTGTCTAATATATGATCCTCTAATTTTTCTCACTCCATTACTAGTTAATTTAAAAAGACAAATAATGAAATGACAAACTATATACTAACTTATTTAAATTAGGTATTACTGAGTAAGAAAAGATTTTAAAATATTTTATACATATGATACCATAAAAAATGAAGTGTTACTCTTATATTTTCTAAGTTAGAATAAGTGACCTAAGAGATCCAAAGATTAAAATAATATTAAAAATAGCTTATTTCACCTCATAGAAAAGTGCAGCAGGTAATCTGAGATACTTCTGATAGAATCAGAAAGATCAAAGCCCAGGTCTCTGTATCTTCCACCTAAATCTCCTGGCCCATCAATCACAGTATTTTATATTTTATAGAAAATCGACTTACTGACTGAAGATAATGTATTTTATATAATAAAATGTGACTTGCTTGTGAGGACAATTCCACAGAAGAACAAAATGGCTGGTTTTAATGTTTAATGCTTATATATTTGAATTGCTGCACAAAAGCATTCCATAAAAACCAGACCACCATGCACTCACCTACACATACAGCAGCCACAGAAGACAGATTTGAGCATGCTCCCCAGGACCACAGCTAGGTCCAACTGCTACATTAACCCACCTGCCCTAACCGCAATCATAACATAACAATGAGAAAGCCAGAAAGGGAAGCAGAAGAAAGAAAGGTTAAGAGAGAAACAACCTCATGACTAGATTCTGAGGATTTCTTACTTATATGGCTCCTGACTTCTAAAACCCAGAACTCTTCTACTCAGTCATTCTAGTTATTTGTTTATTTCTCTGGCCAAAGTGTTTCTGTGATTTGGATATTGTTTGTCTTCCAACATTCATGAATTGGGAGCTTGGTCCTCAGTGTGCTGATGTTGGGAAATGGAACACTTGAAGAAGTAGAGCCTTGGGCCAACTGGGACACTACCCTTGGAAGAAACTGTAAGATACTCCAGCATCTCTAGTGTCCTGTGTGGTGATGTGATCTTGCTTTCTATCTGCACTACCATCTGTAAGCAGAGTTGATGCTGGCATCATGTCCTTAAATACCTAGAACTATGAGCTAAATAAGTTTCTATTCTCTATAAAGCTAGCCTGCCTCAAATATTTTGTTACAATAATGGAAAAATTAACTATAGAGTGATCATTCCTTTGCCTATACTTAAGACAAATAATGTGATGCTTTCTATGTGCCATACTAAGCGCTTAACACATAGTAACTCATTTAACCCTCACTTAAGTACCCTAATACTTAGCCCTAAGAGGTTAAGTGCAATTATTCTGTCCATTTTACAGGTAAAATGGCATAGAAAGGTTAAGTCCCTTGACCAAGTTTAAGCCCACAGTAAGAGGTGGACCAGGGATTCAAATCAATGACTTCAAAATCCTTGTTCTTAACATGTTCTGCTCTCTGATTTGTTACACATTTTTCTATTTGTTTTCGATAAATACTAGTAGTTTTTAAATAGGAAAATACCACTCAGGCTGTTTTTGTAATTTACTCTCATCTTACTCAACTGCACTACATCTTGAGCATCTTTACAAGTCAGGGCATAAATCATATTTATTTAAAATCATAGACAGCACTTACAATTACTACCTTGTAATTATACAGAGAGTTGCTTTATGGATTATAAACTTTTTATGTAGGTCTTATTCACTATATCTCCCACTGTGTCACACCCAGAAAGCTTCCTGCTTAACCCTCTGCTTAGCTCCACACATTCCTATTTGTTTAATTAAATGAGGGAAACTCTTCTTGAATCAAACTAGTGGGTTAAGCAGGCCTTTTAAAAGGCAACTCTAGAACCTAATCATCATTTAAAATACACTGTCCCTTAAGTTTCCAATTCTCAAACTACATTATAAATGAATTTTAGAACAAAACTCAATGTATAAATTTCAAGGAATAAAGGTAGTATCAGAAATAATCATTATAAAAATATTTGTAAGTACTAGTAACTTTCATAGCCTATTAGTTCCATGTGATAAACAACTGGCCTTTTAACAAAGCCTCTGACATACCCAAAGTTCTATGCCCAGAACTGTCCCTCAGCTAGTCCTCACCAACCAACCTACTTAGTCTTTACTGTAACTGACTCCTACAGTTTAGAGGACCAGAGAAAATAGTACATATTACAGTGGATTCACAGGAAAGTTCTAAATGCCAGCTGAAAATGTCCAGAAAACATCTCCACCTGACCTGGTATTCAAACCAATCCTTGCCATGCTGTGGTATCCTGTCATGCGTTCTGAACATTCTTAGCAAGGTTAGGTAGCCACAGATCACAGATGATCATCACCATCATCTCCATCATTATGGACAGAACACTCATTAATCGAGAGCTTACTCTTTGTGCTAGACACACAGTAACTCTGATCTTCAAAATAATCATAAAGATAGGAATTATCATTTTACCAGCGAAGTTGCTAAGTCAAAGAGATTTAGCAACTGGATTATTAATGGTGACAGGATATGCAGGATCTGAACTGGAATTTTACTTCAGCTCTAACTGATCCCAAAATTCATTCTCTTTCCTCTGTATCCTGAGTCCCATTCCACTTCAACCATTTAGACCTGTGTTTCAGCCCACGAGTCTCTATAAAGTTATTTGATTACCGAAGAATGAGTAAATATTAGAAACCCAGTTCAATCACAGTATATTCTCAAGGAATGGATGACAGTATAAGTAGAAGACCAAAATATGGCACAAAGATAATAACAAATGTACAAATACCCTGAAATTTTGTAAAAAGCACTAGATCAAAGTGAAAAGATGTTCTAAAATAAAAAGAACGAAACAAAAACAAATGACTAACTTACACACTGTATGAAAGCAACAGTTGGCTCCTGGCATCCCAAACTGCCAGAGGCAGAGCAAATCCCTGACTTTGCTGCTGTTGAAACAGCTTCAAGAGGATGAGTACACATTCTGAGGAACTCAAACCCAATAAATCATTTGTTTTCATATGTAAATTTTTCCAAAAGTGAATTAATGGTCGTGATAGTTTATGTTTAATAGTATTACTGAAAGAACAAACCAACTTCAGTTTAAAAGTTATTTCAGCTGTGCTAGCGCCCAACTCTCAATCACATGCCAGGACTTGTCAAAGATTTTTGGCATTCAAGATAGGACATGGTTGTCTGAAATTGCCTAAGCCTTACGTATCATCTAATATCCCTGGCTTCTGTGCATTAAAATCCAAACCTCTCTCAAAATTGTGCCCACATTACTTCCAAATGTCTCAAGTGAGAGCCACTGATTGCTAGAAACCTCTTTCTTTCATTCGATTTGGAGACTACTAATGACTTTTTTAAATGTTTATGTTTTCTGCCACAGATGCTTATTCAACCTTTCCTGGCAGTGTTTCTTTACAGTTTCATACATAAATCATCCCTGAAGTTTTCTTTTAAAATAACCTAATATTTGTTTGATGTTTATTTGAATGAGATCCAAAAAGCTAACTGTGTCTACATCATAATATGATAGTATATAATTATTGGGGGACAGAAATAAAAGCTGTAATGCTTCAGAATCATGGTACTCTAAAATTTAAGAAATGGAAAGGAACCAGGAGATGATTTATCCTAGTATCTGATCCTCATTCAAAACAAAAGCACAGCCGGACATGGTGGCACACACCTGCAATCCTAGCACATGGGAGGCTGAGGCAGGAGGATTGCTGTGAGTTCAAGACAAGCCTGGGCTACATAGTGAGTTCCTGGTCAGTCTCAACTACATAGTGAGAGCCTGTCTCAAAAAGACAAAACAAAAGCACAAAACAATATATATATGTGAGCATTTTTCTGAGAAAAGAGTTCGACAATTTATATTATGGACTCAAAAAACTTCATTATCCAAACAAACTTAGGAATCAGTGACTTAACAGTTCTCTTACTTCACCAGCAAAAGCCATGCTGTAAATTTGAGCTTGTAATTGACAAGCTCAAGACTGTACCACCGGACCTTACTACTGGACCTTATTACCACAAACATGTAAAATGGATGCCTGGGAATGACCCAACCCATGAAAGGGACAGGAAGTTCCACAAAATCATTCACCAGCTACGTGCAACAGTCAAATTCCTAATGTTTATATCAGTCACTCCATTAAGGAAGAGGGTTGTTTCAAAGGGAAAACTCTAGGGAATAAGCATCGCTTAATTTGTTTTGAAGTTTGTTTTTCTGATTATCTACTGATTTTTTTAAACAAAGTATATTTACACATTTAAATATTACTCTTGCATGAATAAGAAATTTGTTTCTCCATTTTTACAAAACAAAATCTGTATTTGAAAAATTCAGATTATTTGAAAAATATTTTGCTGATCAGAGGAAAAAGTGTCTGGTATCTATCTATACTACTTTAAAGGACAGAATATATCCCATGGATCCCCAAAGAAAATCTTGGTAATAAGTAGGCAGTTGACAGGCCAGCTTTGTAAGATCACAAAGTATGACCAGGAAGCACCAGAATTAGACCCAACCATTCTGACTCCATGTTCACTTTCTTTCACTTCACCACATTGCCTCAGTCTCCAAACACTATAGGAAAGCAATTTAAGTGCCACCACAGAGGAAAGAATTTTTAATGTCATGTTGATAAACTACTACTAATTCCAAAATAATATGTTCAACCATTTAAAAAGAAAAAGTTCCAACAGGACATGAAAAATTCTACTTTGAAGCCCCAATCTGCAATTTCTGTGAAGTACATAACCAAACAAAAATAGTGTGGATATTCTGGATAGCTCACATAGATCAATGACCAATTACCAATACAAGAAAAATATTATTCTAGATGTCTGACACCCTGTTGATGGACTGACACAACTACTTTTAGAAAAATAAAAAGGTGATAAGTGATTCTGGGCCTTGTTAATGAAAATCAAAGCTTATGCTAACCGCTGAAACAACCTACAGGCACAGGTGTTTAAAAACACAAACACAAAATTTCTTAGAAACCTTAAGAACCAGATGCACTTTAATAATTGCAACACCCTTCCCTCAGAACCAGTAAAGACCATCATTCCTCTTCCACAGATTAGCAGTCACAGAAATATGTTTGCTCCAATTACTCCATCTCTTTGGGTGTTTGGTTAGACACACAACTAAATAGTAATAAAGTTAAATTTCTACCTCACATCTTTTTCATTACATGCTCTCTTAATTAAAATGGCATTCTCAAAATAAGCATTAACATTAGAAAAACACATAAAACAATGAAACACTTTGAGTCCTTAAATAAAAGCACAAATATATGAATCACAGGCTAGGGACATTAAAACCTCTAGTAAGGAAAAAGAAAAGTTGGTCTTGAAAACACTGTAACTCCCACTAAGAAATCAATAAGCAGGCAGAATTTATTTCCTCTTATGGCCTTTAAATATAAATCTTATACCTAAAAAAGTTACTCTGTAGTTGGGGTGATTATTGATAACAATGAAAACAAACTGTCTTTAAACAACTGAACTGCATGTTATCCTTTCCTATTCAGTGCAACCATCGTAAAAGTAACAGTTATCAGTTTCAGCTTCTTTTGAAAAATGTATATGACTTGCAGCTTGGTCACTCAGATATAAACTAATTACTGAGAAAAATCACACTATGAGAAAACCTACTACAGCACTGAACATAAAGTCCAGCCAAAGAAGTAAAGGGAAAAGCAGGAAGAGTATATTGACTACTTTCTTCTGCGGGACCCCAATTAGTGAGGGTATCCCCTTCATTTATTTTTATTCAATGGCTCACTATTAGAGATAAACCCAAAAGATGGAAAAACAGAATCTAGCCACTGCTTGGCTGCCTTCTTATTTTTTTTTTCTTCCTGCACCCAGGAGTAGAGCATGCAATCCTCAGTTCCACTATACTCCTGATGCTAGTCAATTTCAGTGACCCAACTGTCAAGCCTACCAAATCCTTCTCAAAGCATTTTCTTATCAATTCTACAAAGCAGCAAACTCTTCATGGTATATTTTCCTAGACTGTCTACCCAATATCATCCTTTAACAACTTTTTCCAAAATTAACTGCAGAGGTCATTATCACAAATTTTAGCACCGTTCCCTTTACTTTTCCATTTAGACACCACACCCACTAAAATCCCAGTAACTATCATCAGCTTATTTCTAGGGCCTGACAAGAGCTCTTCTTGATTGTACCCACACACTTGTTCCAAAAGTATACTATTCCAACGCAGAATGCCGAAGTCCTGCTCCTCAGTTCAATGTCACATCATTTGGGTGGATTCTAAATTTACTATGAAACCTAGTTTATTTTGATCCATCGCCTCCCAAGCCTGTCTTTCTTCCTAGCTACAAGTCACCAAGACCTGACAACTCAGTGTTTGACAGCTCGCCAACCTCTACCCCTTCGGACCCTTAGGGTCGTCCTTCCAACCGTTCTCCAGCCTTCTTCCCATTCCGACACTCCTCCATTGCCCACTGTGCTTCGGGCCTGCCTTAAGACCTGTCCCCGAACTCGCTGTCCCTTCTGGACCTCGCTGACCTCCCTCCAGATAAGCGAAGCCCTTGTCCCGCAGGCCCCATCTGTTTTCCCGGGTTTCCACACCAGCCGCCAGGATTCTCAGGCTGCAAAAACCTAGTCTCTCTCTTCCCGATGGCCACACCCTTCGTGAGGCCGCTTCCCTCAGCACACGTCACCTACACTGTGCCGGGAGACCCCAACTCACCCCCGCCTCCGCCATCTTCTGAGACCGGCCCCCGTCCCCCCTCTGCCTCTTCCTCCTCCCCGCCCACAACTCCGCCCGAGGTCCACTGCGCCTGTGCGGCCTCGGCGCGGAGCACCGGCGGTCGGGGCAAAGGAGCTTCCGGTTTCCGCGGGCACAAGCCGGCGGACTAGGGAGCCGGGGTAGGAGGGCTTCCGGTCTCCTGGAAGAGGGCTGCTGGCGGGAGGCGTGAACTGTAGGGATGGAAGGCTGCGCGCTCAGCTGTTGCCGGCTGACAGGCAGTGGTGGATGGTGACGAGTGCCCAGACCCTGTGGGCGGAGTAAGAGAGTCGTGCCTTGACACACGCACTCTTGGGTGAGGCGTAGCTCTCTGCGTCTGTTATCTCGGAGCCAAAAGTTTTGCCCGCCTTGGAGGGCGGGCGGCCAGGTTTCTGCCGCTAACGACCCTGGCTCTCCATATCATTGTGCGTTTGCCCGGCTTTACCCTTTGCGCTTTTTTTTTCTTCCTTATTAAGCCAAAACTTTTTTTTTTCCATTAAGTTTATTGGTACATTTAAAGCAAGCAATAGTTACATTTATCATTGGGATCTTATCTTGGTTCTTACTATTCCCCATTCCCCTGCCCTCCCTTCACCCCCTTCACCCTTCCCTATTTACAAAGACTTTGTTTCCATTTTTTCGTTTTTTTCCACATTTTTTTCGTTTCCCTTATTTTCTTATTTCCTTTCCTCTCCCTATTAAGTCGAAAGTTACTCTGGAAGAGTAGGTAGCATAGTGACTTTTTCTGTCATCACCATTCCATAGCACTTGTCATTCTTAATCATTCCTCACGTAGGGACAGGTAATGCAGTTGGGGGGGGGTTCACTGGAAGGGCTTCAGAGGTTTACTCCCAAGTAGAGAGAACACAAACCTTACAAACCTCTTACTTGACAAAAGGATTATTTCCGTTCAATCTAAAAATCATACGTTTGTAATATGAACAAACCCAAACAGATCTTTGGAGATTGTGCAGATAAACTTTTTTTTTTTTAATGGAAGTGAGCCAGTGCAGAAGCAAGCCATATATAAAGCCAGAAGGCATTCATTAACAAATTTTTAAAGGCAAAAACAAAATTTCTCAATTGTATTATATTCCGGGACTATCCATATGTCACCTTTTTGGGTGGCTTACCAAAATATGGATATAGACAGATTACAACAACCTCGAAGAGAGTTTTAAATGAAACATGGGCCTAGAATAACTTTTTGTTTACTCTGAACTAGTAAACAACATGATTTTGTTTTTGTTTTTGTGGGGCTGAGGATCGAACCCAGGTCCTGATGCCTACTGGGTCAGAACTCTTTAACAATGAACTACACCCCAGCCCCAAAAGATGGTTATTTATGTTTCTGATCTTTTTTATCAGTACATTTATTTCTGGAAAGTAAAACTAAATTTGCAACAAAGTGTCGAAGTATCTGCATAACCCTTGTTTTTGCTAACTCTTAAAATTAGTTCCTGTAGGTTTTTCCTACCAATAATCAAAAATCTGGGCTACATTTACTAAGTAAATGAGGGATTTGTTTTAAAAAGTGCCAAGAAGGGAGACAGTAACTTCAAAATGGCTCTTTTTAAAACAACATGAGTTCTATATGTCCAGTTCCTGCCCACCTCAATCCAACTTTTTCAAACACTTCGGCACTGCATTCAATGTAATCCTAATTAAAGATTTTAGCCTAGCAAAGAATTTGTGATAGTTTACATACTCATTAATTGCAAGGAGGGACAAAGTTCTAAAAATAATCATATGACATTAGTTCCTATGAATCTTACATCCAATACAGGGATTCCTTTCAGTACAAGGTTCAGTATAAAATCCTTAGGAGAACTACAAGGACTACTGTCATCTTTGATTAGGTTTTTATGGAAGATGTAGCCTTTTGGTGAGTATTGAAGCTCAATATGCAGTTATGGCGAGTCTGTGCATTCTGTTTCAAGCTCAAGAATTGGGAAAACGTGAATGGATTATGGATCCTGGCACGTGGATGGCTGTATGGGGAGATGTAGGAGATCTGAATGTCAGGCTCATGAATTTGGAATAAATTTTTGTTTTCACTGGAAACATTCAAAGCCTAAATTAATTGATGGCAGAATATAAATTGGTTAAGAACTTTGAGAAATCCAGTAACTGTGTTACTTTGAATTTGATGCAATATCTGTGGAATGCTGATGAAGGCCTTATTCATGAAACCTGAATTATACTTTGGCTTTGTGATAGTATGTGTGTAATTATGTCCAATAAATTCGTTTTTTTAGACTTTCATTTTCTTATCTGTAAAATGTATTAAATGAATTCACTGATAGAAATATCAATGATTTGACAATTCTGTACCTTCAGAGGTACCCCCAAAAGTTTTATTTGCCTTGTTGAAGTGGAATATTGTTAGACTGACTTTATTGCCTAAGGATTAATGAATGACTAAGCCTTACCACAAGCTTCTAATAACTTTGGACTTGGAAACTTTACCCAAATTAAAACCATCCAAAAAAAAAAAAAGCCATCCAAAAAAATTTTAGTAATAAGGCAGTTTTTCTACTCAATAGCTGCGATGCAAAATATTCAAAAGTGACCTAGTTTGAAGGGTTTTGTTTCTGTTACAGTATTTTGATATGGAATGCAACTATACTTAGATATGACATGTACCCCCAAGGTGCATGTACTAGAAGCTTGTCCCCTAGTGTGGTGTAATTGAGGTCATCGAACCTTTTAGAGGTAAATGGAGGGTAATCAGGTCACAGGGACACCACCCTCCTGAATGGATTAATGGTGGTCAGCATGGTTGGGATCTGGTAGGACTGGATTAGTCCCCAAGAAAGCAACTTGTTATAAAAAGAGTGAGGCTGACTCCTTCCTATCCCTGGTCTCCTGTTTCCTGTGTCATCATACGATCTTTCCCTCCCTTGGATTCTCCTCTCCCTGTACAGATACCTACCCTAACCTTTATAAAACTTGATTGTATTGTTGGTTTTAGTATCTCTTGACTCTCAGCCTCTCAAAGACAAAGATCATGTTGAATTCTTCACGGATTTGCTGGCCTTTCCTCTTTTACATATCCATTATGTTAAAATGTGGGCAGATTGCCCTTACCAGAGGCCAAACAGATGGGGCTGCTTGATCTTAGTCTTTCAACCCCTGAACTGAATAATATTTTTCTGTATAAAATATCCAGGCTAAGGTATTTTATTATAGCAATACAAAATGGACTATGACAGATACATATAGTTGAAAGATACAGAAAGTCCAGGAATATTGCCCTTTTTTCATTTTTAAAATTTTCTTTGCCATTTTTTACCTTTTTAAAATTACAGAATGAATCACTTCATCCCCACTTATCACTTGAGCACCTAGCAGGTACCAGGATATTAGAAGAAAAATAAAAGAATCAAGGTCTTCCATTATGAAGCTTACAGTCCAGTGGGGGGTATACATAGTAAATGGTTAAATCAATATGTAATTATAAATTGAGACAAGTGCTATGAAGATAGAACATCTCCATAATGCAGTAGTGAATGAAGGAGCATACCTGGAGAGACTATGCATGACTTCGAGTGTGACTTGAAGATTGAGGGACATCTGCTAAGAACAGGATGAGAGCAGAAAAGTGGAAACACATGGTGCATTCCAAGGAATTAAAGGAAGGCAGAGTCACTAGGGAATCGCAATTGATAAGGAAAATTGAATTTGTGTATTAATTTCACAACTGACCACTTATTGTGTGCCAGGAACTATGTTATATTACTCTGACTTTATATGCTCAAAACCCCTTTGAAATAAATATCAAATGGTAGATGATAAATTAAGGCTAAGAGAGGTAATTGTCAACCCTGGCTACGTATTATAATCGCCTGTAGATCTATTTAAAATGCTATTGCCTAAGCCCCACCTTCTGTATATTCTGATTTAACTGGGAAGAAGAGGAACTTTTTAATGTAATCCTAAAGTAGTTCTAATGCAGCCAGAGTGGAGACTCACTGGCTTAACCTTAATTTGTGCAAGGTCACTTAGTTAAGTAAGTGGTAGAGGAGGCATGAATTCAACCTAGATGCTTGATTCCAAAGCCTGTGCTGTTTGCCACTCGGTAGCATATAGTAAGAAGTTATTTCTGGAAGCTGTTAAACACTGAGACAAAAGGATGAATGAGACAGAGTCCTTACCTTCAATAAATTCATAACCAGTAGGGTGGTAATCTCAGCAAATGAAGCCAGGCCAGCCACATAGACACAAGTCAACTGAGAAGCATTGGTAAAGACTGATATGTTCTATTTTAAGCTAGAGTCGTAAGAAAAGTACTTAATGGCATGAAATCTGGGTAGGTAGCTCTTGCAGTTGTCACCTGAGAAATGGTGCAAGCCTTCAAGCCTTAAACTAAAGCAGTGGCACAGGTCACAAAGAAAATTGGCAGGATTTGCTGACCACTGATGTCAGGTGATGAAAAGAAAAAAGTGGAGAAATACTACAAAGTTTTGAGTTTGAAAGAGCGAATGGAAGTGACACCATTGACCTAGAACAAGAGTGCAAGCATTGAATTTTGGGTTAAATGAGTTTAAAATACTTCAAACACTGAGGTAGAAATGTCTAGTTCAGCAGGCAGAATGTGCATCAAGTGAGCAAATAATCAAGATAATATCTGAATTTACTGCCTCTCAGAGATATTTGAAACCATGCCTTACATAATGTGTATGCTGTTTATACATCTTTTTAGAAAAGATAATAGACATAGAGAAAGAAAAAATTCCAACAGTACCATGCTTGAATATTTCAATAATGATATTATTTATCTGCAGTGATATTGAACATGGTCAATTCATGATTATTCATAATGAGTTTTTAATACTTCCCAGACTTTTCCCTGGCCGCAAAGTAAATTTAAAAGATGACACATAGCCTTGGAATGCAACCCAACTTTAAATATTGGCTAAATATTTAAGAAGAATGCTATATGATGCATTCAGAAATGTAATGGAGATATCCTAGAAAGCTGTTCCTACATAAATTTTCTATACCCCTACTTTTGACTTTGCAAAATATCTTTATAAAATTACTTAAACCTACAATGTTGTACAGTGATATTCGAAACATAAAACTAGATAGAAAATTCTTAAACTTTGATTTATATACATCTATAAAACCAAAGTATTTACAAAAGCATGAAATAGGTAAGCTTAAAATTATAGTAATATAAAAGGCATTTTCTTGAAATTAATGCATGACATAAATATTTGCTACATTAGAGATTTGGGGATAAAATATACTTTTAATTCTGTCATGTGATAGTTTGCTTCTCTCAGCACTTATCTTTTAAACCTTTATTTGTACAGTCTACCCTACCATTATTTGGTCTTCACTTGAAGTAGATGATGATTTAAGTCCAACTTTTTTTTTTCAAAATCCAACCTAAGAAAATGACAGGCCAATCTTAAGAGAAATC